CATCGTTGGAGTTTTCGGGTCAACTCGATTTAAGGGACGTGTGGTCACTAAAGCAATGTTAGGACGCCTTAGCGGTAACTCTAATGTCTTAGATCATTTTTCCGAGGCAACCGTTTCGAGGCAACTTATGATCTTTGGACAAGAGAGCGACCTCTAAAATATCCTATACTCAATTACCACGTTCGAGGCAACCAAGTGAGGTGTACCCTAAGAGTGGAATGTGCGAGTGTATTGTTTTTTTCAGTTTATATTGTCTTTGTACATGTTATGGTGAGCTACGGTTGATTTTAAATTAAAGGTTAATCTTGTCATGCAATCCTAGTTAGCATACATCTAAACAGTCAATATATGTACAGGAATTTAAAGTGCGGGAATTGTAAATCCTACGCTATTACAAGGCTTCGGGGAGGGGGATTATTTACATGTCCAAAATTGGGGGAATAAAGTAGTAAAGTGTAAAAGTCTTAGTTAAGCTATTACAAACCAGTAGGCAGTTACAATAAAATAAACGCGCGCGAATCTGAAAATAACCTCTAAAAATCCTAAGAATAAAATCTTTTTGTTGTTTTATTTTATTTTGGGAAAATGATCTAAATCTACTTAATTTTAGTTTTTGAGAAAATGATCTAAATCTACTTAATTTTAGTTTTGGAAAAATGTTAAGATAATTAAATGATTAATTAACAAAGTTAATTTAATAGGAAAAAAACTAGCCTAATGTTTTTTGTGTTTTTGATTTTATGTTGATTAAAAAAAGAAATAAAATGGTCAAAACAAAAATGAAATTGAAGGAACAGGCAGTAAATCAAAAAAAAGTATAATTCTGGAGGCCTGGGTCGAAAGAGGTGTGGGATGTCTTTCGACCCAGTGAAGAGGCTTGATCGAAGGTGCCTGAGGGGCTGCACTCTGGGGGTGTTCGATTTGGATATGTCATCCTTCGATCTGGAAATCCTGGATCCAGTTCGAAGTTAAGCTGCTAAGCTTCGAAGCTCTGAACATGATTTTGAGAAGATATTTCCTGCAAAAACGAGACAAATATTAAAGGTCCAGGGGGGATTTTACCCCCCTGATTCGAATCTGCTCCCTAATTCGAATCCTTCCTCAATTTGAATCTGCTGAATCTGGGCCTGGGTTTGTTTTATCCTGAGATTCGAAGGAGAAGCTTAGGTCGTGCCCAAGCAATGGCACGATCTCATCTTTAAGCAATTAAAGATGTATCATCTGTGGCTCTGGGCGTGGAGATGTTTGTTAGATGGCTGCTTTGGCTTGGATGAAAATGCTGATAACCTTTGGTGGGTTGTGGGCAGCGTATCTCCAAATCCTCCCTGTTTCTTTCCTTTTCTCTGTTTTTTCTATGTTTTTTTCGTCCTTGGTAATGTGTCACTGGCCTCGTATTTATAGGAGTGTGAGGGTGCATGAAAATGGCAAGGGACAGCCATTTAACCAGGCCATTAAAGCCATGAGACAAGAATCAGACACATTAAAATATTTCCTTTTTTGAAATATTCGTGTCTCTTTGGAATCTGGAATGAATTTGGACACTTTTGATTTTCGAATGCCTCCAGGCCATGCTCTTCGATTGGTCTTGAGTTGCCTCCTTCGAATGGACTTCTTCTGCTTCGACTGCTTGATTTGAAAAGGATCACTCTGGTCGAATCAGCTCTTGTGGAGTTAGGAACAGAAAAGGCAAGAATCTGGCCTTTAACTCAGGAATTGAATCCACAATCAGCATTTAATTATTGCCATATTTGCAAGGAAAACATGTCATTTTCTCATGTTCAGTGTACCTGGACATGTTTTTTTGAGTTCCCTCTTGATGGCCTCTTTCAAATGGCCTGGAAGGAGTTCTTCAAATGGCCCTTCTCCAAATATCAATCGAAGGGTACTAATTAAAATTCCAATCGAAAGGCTTTGTTAACAGGCCAATCGAAAGGTGTTGTTCATGCTAATCGAAGGACATGGTTAACATGCCTGTCGAAGTTGCCTTGACACAATGCTAAATCGAAGGATCCCTTGGCATGCCAATTGAAAGGCTTGGCCCAGGGTTCCAAACGAAAAGGTCTTTCAGAATTCTAATCGAAGGGCTTTGACATAATGCCAATCGAAGTGCTTGTCCATAATGCCAATCGAAAGGCTCCTTCAGAATACCAATCGAAGGGTCTTTCAGAATGCCAATCGAAGTGCTTGTCCATAATTCCAATCAAAATGCTCCTTCAGAATACCAATCGAAGGGTCTTTCAGAATGCCAATCGAAAGGTACTTAAAGCACCACTCAAAAATTTTCTTTTTCCTTAGGCAAGGGTTTGTGATCAACCATGCAGGGGGGAAGACTTTGGAAAACATGAGAGGGCAAATTTTGGGGTACAACAATGTTAAGAAATTTTGCCTCTTATTAGCAAGGATCCATCATTAAATGTGAGTACAATTATTTCTCATATCGCTACAAGATTCAATTGTACTCCCTCTTACAGGAAGGCATGGATCGGGAGGACTAAGGAAGTTGAACTTGTGTATGATAATTAGGAGGAATCGTACAAAGAACTTCCAAGATTTTTGGTGGCACTCAAATATTATGCTCCGGGAACTGTTATAATTTTGGAGACACTCCCGACATTTACCCCAGAAAGAACTCGTGTTAGTGGAAATGGAATATTTCATCGATTGTTCTGGGCGTTTAAACCATGCATCAAGGTTTTGGCATTTTGCAAACCTATTATACATATTGATGGAACTTGGTTATACGGGAAGTATAAAGGAACATTACTCATGGCAGTGGCACAAGATAAGAACATTAATGTTTTTCCGATTTCCTTCGCTCTAGTTAAAGGTGAGACAGGTGGTGCATCAAATTTCTTTCTGAAGAATCTCTGGTTACACGTTGCTCATCAACCCAACCTTTGTTTGATTTCAAACAGACAGACATCGATTGTGAGTGCATACAATAACCCTGATAGCGGTTGGCAGGATCCCCCTTCAACACATGTCTATTGCATTAGACATATCACACAAAACTCCATGCTCCATATCAAAGATAAGACACTTTGAAATAAAGTTGTTAATGCAGAGTATGCCTTAACAGAACCATCATTCTGACACTATCGTGAGGAAATACGGTTGGAAAACTCAGAAGCATTAAGGTGGGTCGATAACATTCCAGTGGAGAAGTGGACTCGGGCATTTGACAATGGTCAACGATGGGGCCACATGATAATAAATTTGGTGGAATCATTGAACTCGATCTTCAAAGGCATCTGAAACCTACCAATTACTGCTTTGGTTATAGTAACATATTTTAGGATGGGGTCATAGTTTGACACGAGAAGTTCAAAATAGAGGACAGTGTTACAATCAGGGCAGTTGTTCAGTGAATGCACAATGAAAACATTTAACAAGGAGGCTGCGAAAGCAAACACCCATAGTGTCACCGTGTTTGACCGTATTAAAGGTTGGTTCATTGTAAAAGAGACAATGGATCATAATGAGGGGAGGCCAAGGAGATATTATTGGGTCGAACTAGATAGAGGTTGGTGTGATTGCGGAAAGTTTCAAGCATTTCGCATGCCTTGCTCTCATGTCATAGTGACATGTTCACATGAACGCTTGGACCCAATACAACATATATCCCTCATGTACACAGTAAAGAGCATTTTAAGTGTGTACATCAATACCTTCTCTGTGTTGGCAAAGGAGGATTATTGGCTTGCTTATCAAGGGGACATTGTTTGGCACAGTGAACAAATGCGACGGAAGAAAAAGGGGCGCCCGAAAAGCACTCGTATTAGAACTGAAATGGATACGGCCAACAAAATGAAAAAATTATGCAGTACATATCGTCTTCCCGGATACAATCGAAAAAATTATCTGAATATTGGATCTAGCTCTGTAACCTAACTTTTTTATAGCAAACTTTCCTGAGTGATTAATTTGTTGTGTGCAATATATTTCAATTTAAATTTGGGTTATCATTTCGTGTTCAATTTATCATTCGATTATAACAACCTTCACATAATGACACGAAAAATTACAACACCACAAACTCAAAACAACAACACAATAACATGATAAACAGACAAAACAACTAAACAAATCATAATATCTAAGAGATAAAAACCATTTACAATATCGTCTGGTCCAAGCATCATCATCATAACATCAGTGTTGCATCTCACCTTTTCTATGATCGACTTACTCCATTTTCGTTCCTCGTTGTAATTTGTCTTTCTATTTTTCCGATTTGTTCACCTTCAATAATGTCTCCTTCCAACCAGCGAATCAATTGCCTCTGAAAATGCTCGAACGTTTGCGGGTTCCAAAATTTCATCTTCACCGGAGACTTTGTCGCCGAAAAAATAACATACGCATCTCTTTTCATCAGTGAAAACCTTGACAAGAGAGTTGAAGACATTTTCTAAGAGTTATGTGGCAAATGATGTGAAAAAATAAAGAGGATGGATGATTGCATTTATAGAAAACCATATAACACTGTCAAGCCACACTAAGTGGCGCATCTTCTCTAAACATACATGCATGTGCCACACTGCATGACTTGACAGAGGAGGACAAGTCATACAGTATAGCGTTTCCTCTCTAAATAGCATGCACACACCACACAGAGTAGCTACTCCTCTGTATGACGATTTTATTTTATTTTTAAAAATATTTAATTTGGTAAAAATAAATTAAAATATAGTTATTTAAAAAAAATGAAAAATATGATTATTTGAAGGAAAAAAATTCAAAAGGAATCTGGAATTATTATTTTTTGTCTCTTTAATACGCGACTTGTTACTAGATTCCAAGTATGAAAAGGAAAATATCATCCAATAAAGTCACTATAAATCAAATCATGGGACCAATCAAATAATGTCTTATCTATTCTCAATTTATTTTCCTCTCTCCTCCTTTACTTCATATACACTTGCACAAACACTTGCTCTTCTCCATTTCATTTCTTATCTTCTTTCACCAACCAATAATAACAACTATCACCATCCTTCATCATGACCTCAACCACCACGCCACTCCTTCCATGGAAGGTTCGCTTCACCGTGTCTACCATCTCTTCCCTTATCTCCGCCTCTCACCGCTCCAACGACACCGTCAACCGCCGTCTCTTCAACTTTTTTGATAGAAAAACCTCTCCTAATTCTAACTCCATCGACGGAGTTTCTTCCTCCGACATCATCGTGGACCCCACACGTGATCTCTGGTTTCGCCTTTTCACTCCCTCCTCAAACTCCATGTCCGACGCATCACTCCCTGTCTTCGTGTTTTTTCATGGCGGCGGTTTTGCATTGTTTTCTCCGTCTTCCATCACATACAACGCAGTTTGTCGTTTATTCTGTCGTTCGTTTTCCGCAATCATTGTATCTGTTAATTACCGTCTTGCCCCCGAACATCGTTTTCCTTCTCAATATGAAGACGGTTTGGAAATTCTTAAATTCCTCGATCAAAATAACAGTGTCTTAGGAAAATCTGCTGACATCAGCAAATGTTTCCTGTCGGGTGATAGTGCGGGTGGAAATTTAGCCCATCATGTAGCGGTTCGGGTTTCTTTAGAAAAATTTGAAGTTTTGAAAGTTATTGGTTTGGTTTCAATACAACCGTTTTTTGGAGGTGAGGAAAGAACCGAATCTGAGATCCAGTTTAACCGGGTACCTATTGTTTCAATGGATAAAACTGATTGGTATTGGAAGATGTTTTTGCCGGATGGGTCAACCCGTGATCATGAAGCGGTTAATGTTAGTGGACCTAATGCAAAGGATATTTCAAATATTGATTATCCGAATACCCTTTTGTGTGTTGGTGGGTTAGACCCGTTACTGGATTGGCAAAAGAGATACTATGAGTGGTTGATAAAATCGGGAAAAACAGTAGAATTAATTGAATATCCAAATATGATTCATGTGTTCTATTATTTTCCAGAATTACCAGAGACGTCAGAGTTTATTTCTAGAGTTAAGGATTTCATGTATAAGCAAATGGCTTATATGAACTAAGGACTGAATTAATTTGAAAAAATAGTCGTCAATTGTGTTGTTTAAAAGTGTATGCTTGCGTAAAAACACAAATAAAGTGTACAATGTTTTGTATATACTATATTTGTATGAAAGCTGGAGAAAATTGGATTATATGTAATATGCTTAGATATGTAATAGTTTATTATGTTCTCTCCAAAGTCTCACTCTTCCATATAAAGTGAAAGATTTGCCCTTGTATTGGAAAGGTTAAATTAAAAAGTATGAAACTTTATGTTGAATACCATGAAAGGCCGTGTTTAAGTTCAAACACAAACTCATGAGCAAAAAACTAATAAAAAGCAATACATTGGAAGGTAATATTCGCACCATTTCTTTCGTAAAGTAACAGCAAAAACATTACCAAATCAAAAGACCCCAAGTTGATAGAAAAATATGAGTTTAATAGCATTATCCATTCGATCAATCCTTTAAACAAAGAATTGATTAAGCTGAGAAAAATGGCCAAGAAAACAACTCTATACAAAGGTTTGTTGTTTCAGTAACACTGAAAGATAAAACTTTGCAGTGCATTGGTGACTACTGATTGTTATTCAAATGTTTAACATGATAAAAACATGCTTTTGAAAGATGCATTGCCCTAATCCTCTAATGGGAGCTCTTACTGTCCAACGCTTCCTTGAGCTTCCTTCCTAATGCAAATGCCAGTGGAGGAGGAACAGCATTACCAATCTGCCTGTGCTTGTGTATGATGTTACCATAAAATTGATAGTGGTCTGGAAAGCCCTGCATTTACAGATGAAAAAGATGACAAATTAAAGATGATTTAGCATTTAGCATGACAAGTAACTTAAGTAATAGACTTACTTGAGATCGGGCACATTCACGAACAGTAAGAATTCTATCTTGATCAGGATGGAAGCACATTCCAACCTTACCCATTGGTTGAGGGTCCGTGATGGAAGTTGGGAAATTACCTTGCCAATCCAACCTACCAAACAGTCCCTTCCATTGATTATGCCTGTCAGCTGTGTTTGGCAAGCACCATGGTATCAAATCAACAAGTTGTCCAGTTGAAAGTTTTATCTGCATTATATTAGAAAATATTAATTAAAATAACTGCACAAAACTGTCATGCTAAAATTCACAAAGATTTTACCTTTTCCTCTGGAAGATCACGCCAATCACAACCAGGTCTCTTGGGAATTTTCTGACATCGAATCAAGTTCAACTCATTCATTTCCTTTGATATATGATCAGTCAAGACAGCCATATTGCCTCGAATCTTCTTTTGAAACCACGAGATAGGGTCGCTTTGATACTGCAAGCATAAAGCCAAGTGAATAAAAGTTCTTGTAGACCATTAGTGTTGTGTTACTTTGATTATTAATAATTTCCCTCTTCCACAATAATTTTAAAAAAATGTCAGTAGAGTGTAGAGGCAACTCATATTACTTCTAGGGTAGAAAGATAGATAACAAATCTCTTTCCTATTTCACATACCTCCATGTTTGTCCTAGAGGCTCCATTGCCAACAGCTGGGAGTTCACCAATGGTATCCCGAACAGTTATTGGACGTAATGGGGCACCATCGGCAGTACTGTGGACGGCAGCATAATGGACATTTTCTGACAATCTGATTTTCAACTCAGGGGCAGAGAAGACATGCATTGGTTCTGGCCACTCAGGAAGCACATCTTCTGGAGAGGCAGCCCATATAAATGCCCTTTTTCTTGACTGAGAAACACCAAAAGCTCCAGCCTCAAGGATACCAAACCTCACCTTTTGAACAAGAAAATTAGCATTCATTATTTCTCCTCAAGTTTCTATTCAACTCCAAAATGGAATAAATTATGAAGAATTTTACCTGATAACCCATCTCGAGAAGTGAAGCCAAAGTTAAACGGAAAGTCTGTCCTTTATTAAAAGACACAAAGTTCCTCACATTCTCCAACAGGAAATACCTTGGCCGGAAATAATCAGCAAAGGATAAGAAGGCTAATATCATCTCACACTGGACTTTACTCCAAGTGCTTGTGTTGAATCTATTCATCCCAGAGAAACCCTGCAAAAACAAATTATTCAATAATTACCAAAGTATTTGTTAAGAGCCCTATATTTGGATAAAACATGCACTGAAAATGAGTTTATGAGTGACAGGCATCCCACATCTTAGACACTGGTTTGCAGGACTGAGTTAAACTCAACCCAAATTCAAATATGGTATCCAAGGCTATCCCTATATATGCATTGAACCACTGGCTATCAAACCAGTTTTTTGAAGTTGAGTTAGACTCAATTCAATTTTACAAGTATTATAGGCAGCACAGAGCAAAGAGCTACACAAACCTGGCATGGAGGCCCCCCATTAATGAAATCAACTTGCCCGGGTAATGGTAAACTATTCAAATCCTTATCATCAAGCTTAGAGGCCAATTCTGCAGCCTCAGCTGTTGAGATACATTCATCTATATCTCCACATTTCTCCATTATAGCCCTGCATTAATATAACTTATGAGTTACTCAACTGTTTTCCACTCTAATTAACCTTGGGGCCTGAAATATTTTCTATTAGGATAATTTACCTAAGAATCACATTACAGTTGTTAATAAACACCAAAGCTTCCGGGTGATTAGCTTTGAATGCATTGCCAGCTGGTTCTTCATACTCAATAGCCCATTTAGTTGATGAAGCACCTGAAGCATGAAAGCAGTAACAGAGAAATTACATTATATAAATATAAATATATATATACACACACACACAATAGTGTTTCTTTCTATAATAAAAAGTGTAAGCTTACCAGACTGATGCAACCCCTCTGATAAGCCACCGCATCCTGCAAAAATGTCCAGGGTTGCTAAACGGATTTCATTTGATGCTTTACTTTTCAGATCAGGCACTGAAATGGTGTCTCCCTCTTTACATTTTCCTTTTTTCTTTCTAGCTGCTTCATCAGCTGTAGGTCCACTAGAATACTTTACTTTGATATGAGATGGCAACTGCGGAGTAAATGAAAAATAAAAGTTATTCATTGAAAAACATATTCTGACAATAACAATTCACTAAACTAAAACAAAATAACTGCTTGAAACTTTATAGAAAAAATAATGGCAGCAAATATATCTGTATAGGTACAACAAGGATTTAAAATTTGAATATTCAGATTTGAAATAAAAACTTCATAAAGCATAACACTTTTTTAAAATAAAAGGCATAAAATTAATAAATAATAAAATGCCAATGCTTTTGCAGATTTGTATGACAATTAGCAAGCACACTATACGGTTATAATAATCCAGTCAAGAACATACTACCTTCTTGAGTGATCCTGTGGAAGGATCATACAGGAGTTCACAGAAAAAGACATTGTGGAAGGCTCCAGGGGCACTTCCTTCAGGGATATCAATCTTTTTCCTGACTTCACATTTACCTTCTACGGATTGAACAGATATCGTATATGTTTCATCACTGAAATACACCTAAAACCATAAATCACAATAGTTGTGTCAATATGAATACTTACATGAAGACAATGTATACAAATTAAAACTAAAAGTCTAAAGATAGCAGCAAATATTAACACAGACTAGGTCTTATCAAATTCAACAAGTTCAAGCACAGATCACTTGGTACAAAAAATAATTAAAAATGTGCATTACCATGTTATTTTTGTGCATTTTTATTCAATTAATAAGTTTCAACTTCTATGTTTTACCTCTTGAACATCAGAGCAGTATGCTTTCTCACTTGATACATCTTCCGGTCGAAAGAATCTTCTGACTTTGAGTTCTGTAGATTTTATTTCAGCTTGTTTTGTTTCCTTTTTGGCAATGATCTCGAGCACTTGGCATACAACATAAGCTTTCAGCCCTACGTTCCTCCCACTCTTATGAGTTCCCTGCTCTATCTTTTCCTCAAATTCAAAAGGACTTACATAAACATAGTCATTGAGAGAATATTCTATTCCCTCCAATACAAAACTAGACTTAGACGAATTTACTTTGAAAATTTCCTTCGCCTTGTCAGCTTCTTGTATATTGCAAGAGTGACAGACACCCGACCCTAAACCCAGTGTATCAAACGGAATACTGAAGAAAGCACCCCTCTCAGGCCAGTACAAGCTTTTACAGTAATACTCAGTAGGCAGTCCTTTCTTCTTCCTTTCTTCGGCTCTTTCCCTATCAATTTTACCTGCAGCATTACTATCCTTTCGATGCTGATGCCCCCAAGGTGTTTTTCGGATTCTTGCAACATTTATCTGTTTAACATCTTGCAGTCTCAAATCCCTGCACTCATTAGTCAAAAACACCTCTCTCTCACTCGCAGCATTGCCGAGAACAGTATGACAACCATGTTGCAACATCCTACCATGAAACATCTTTTTCCCATCCTTTGACTCAAACATATATTCAATGTAATATATATCAGTAAGCTCATCTGATTCATCAACTTCAACCGACACAGATATTCCCACAGAAACAACTTCTCCATGAATAATTGCCTGCTTATAAAGAGGCAATCCAGAACTGGTCTTCCTTACAGGACCTCCTTCCCATCTAATCTCTCCCTTGTCAGAAAATGCTTTAATTTGTTTGGAAACTACATGTGGCTTTAGTGTTCCCTCCAACAGTACTGTTTCTTCCTCAGCATCCTCATCTTCATTCTCTTCCTGTTCCTCCGCTTCATCATCATCCTTTTCTTCACTAGCAGTTCCTTCTTTTGATTCCTCGGGTAAGTGGTTTGAGTAATAATCTCCCCATATTCTATTGATTAACTTTGTTGTTGTAGCTTGCATAGCTTTCCTTTTGGATACAACAGGAGCCATTGCTGCCCTAGGATTCAAATTTGGCTCACTCTTTGGCGACAACTTCTTCTTCTTCACTAACCATTTGGTATGGTGCCGTTCTTCCATTTTGTTCATAAGACCAGTCACAAAAGGAGACTTCCTGATCTTGTCATCTGGAAATTCTGCAAATAGTTGCAGAATTATCTGTCCATGGACAACAATATATCTTTC